AGCCGATGATGCTGCGACCCGACTGGGGCCAGCCCTTCTCGAGCACCACGCACTGAAGCTGGTGCCCTACCACGACCAGGACGGTGGTCCCTTCTTCCATGGCAGGCATGAGGGCCCTCACCGCGTCCACCGTCTGCGCGGCCTCTGGGATGTTCGCGTAGCCGGAATGAAGATTGGAGGCGACCTCAACTGAGGGGTTGTCGACCAGGAGAAACCGGTGCCTTTCTTCAGAGTGCTGCGGTGGGGGTTGGAGGTCCCGCAGTAACGTCTCCATGTCGTCCGTGGTAGTGTTGGCCGATGCTGCTAGCGCCTGGAGTCTCCTTCGTCCCAGGGTTGCACCTGCTGCCGCGGCATTCCTTCCGCGATCGGCCTCTGCGCCAGGGGGTCGGTGAGCCCAAACCGAATAACTAGCCTTGTTGTAGAAGGCCACGTTTGGCCAAGAGAGAATGAGAGGATGCATGCGGTAGCACAGGTTCAGCTGTACCACAGCTGGGCTGCCCCCGCCCAGTGCGCTGCGCAGCTTGTCGAATATGGAGAGGCAAAGCCCCCTGTCGGCCGCCTTCCTGGAGAGAACCGTGGGGGGGAGCTGCCTGGGGTCACCAACCAGTGCACGGTGCCCACCAGACCGCGTGACACTGACAAGGGGCATTGCCGCCATGAGTTCGTGGGCCTGTCCCGCCTCGTCGATGATGAGTAGCGCTGTTGATACTAGTTTGATCGACTCGGCCGCCTCGTGGGTAGCGATAACCAGCTTGGCGTCGCTTAGTAGTTGGGGGCGGAAGGACTGGAGCTCCTTGGATGGTCCATTCTGTTTGGGCGGGCGATTATGGGTCCTCTGACAGTGTCCCACTGGGGTCAAGGACGCAATTTCCGGCGCCACTCTGGCGCCCTTCGCGAGCCTGACGCACCTGTTGGGAAACCCAGTCTCACCAGCAAGCCTGTTCTCCTTCTGCGCCACTCCGAGCCCAATAGCGGGCTGGTCGGCTGCTGTGTTCGATCCAGCTGTGAGGGCCACCGACTGCCTCGCGACAGTGAACTAGCCCATGCGTCCATGGTGGCCACTGTGAAAAGAGTCTTGCCAGTCCCTGGGGGTCCATGCACGATCGTCACGTGGCGTAGGATGGTGGAGGTCAGTGCCTTGGCCGCGTTTCTGTTTAGACGGCGTCGCGTGGCGGCCTCGTTGAGGCTGTGGACGGAGGGGAGGTTTCGCACTCGCTGGAGGACCTGCCCTATTGATCCATCAACTTCATCGTCAGTGAACGGTGCGACCGCTTGCGCTTGGCTGCGCTGCTGCTGCGTGGTCACTTCTACCGCGGATACTCCCGGTAGGCTCCGCCCTCGGGTCTCCATGGTGGCCCTTGCCCTTGCCAGGAGGGAAGCTCCGCGCGCCCTCGTATTCTCCGCTTCATTGGCCCTTAGCCTGTCACCTCGTTGGGGGGTCCTTATATTGAGGTAGAACGTTATCACGTCCAGTGGAGAGCCCACCAATTCGTCCGGCGCCTGTTGCAGCTTGTAGATGTCGGAGATGGCCTGATCGATCCTTCAATGCTGCAGCCTCGATGGCGCTCTGTCACAGGACTTGTTCCTTGCTGCCAGAACTTGTTTCCTTGCCGAGGGCCAGTAATTCCTCTGCCTCCTTGGAGTCGCACCATGCCAGAGCCCGGTTGGTCGGGTACCTTGTGCCTTCCCTGAGATCCAGTGCGACGCGCTCGCTGCTGGGGATGTGGCCACAAAACTCCGGGGGCCACACCAGCCTGAGGGAGGCGACCTGGTCCTCTGTGGGATTGGTGAGGCTGGGGAGCAGCGCCCGAGATTGTGAGTCCTGTACACCGTCCACTCCCTTGAGCGATAGCCGGAGTTCGCTAGGCCATTGCAGGTGTAGGAGTGTCTTCCCGTCTGGGGGGGGGGGGGGGGCGCCTGGCGAAGCTTGAACTTGTCAAGTGCGTGACAGTCCGACTGCTCGTGTGCGGGGGTTACCGCCACTTCCACGGCGCAGCTCCGCTTGCGTGCCAGATCTGTTCTGGCCTTCACTGATCCGTCCCATGATGTCTCTGTGGGGCCCATGGTCTCCGTCCATGCCAGTCTGGTCAGAACGATCCCCCTCTGTCGTAGGTCCTGCTCCCAGCACATTGGCAGGTTAACTCCTTCTACGATTTTCCCCAGGGGGACATGCAGACGGAACTGGGCTCCAGGGCGTTCCGCTGGCACGCAGAACAACTGTGCGATGGCCTTGGCCGCGGTGTTCGCTGGGGGGTCTGGGGATGTCAGCGAGGGGAGTGGGTGGCGACTGCTAGCCCCACCGGGTTCCTCCCCCTTTCGTGGCCCGCCCCGCTCGGTGGGGTCTTGCGACGACGCCCTGCTGGATCCGACCAGCCTGTCGCACAGATTGGGGGGAGGAGGTCCCTTTGCGATGTTGCGAGGGGGAGGCACGACGCTGCCTCCCGCCGTCCTTCCGCTGAGCCATGGGTTGGCCTTCCCGCCACGTCGGTGCAAGTCTGCTGGCCGCAGGCTGGCGGACGGGATCGTGTCGGTGGGGGTTATGAAGCTGAAATCGTCGTCCCGATAAGGAAAGTCGACTGGTGCGTGGTCCCAGTCCTCTGGGAACGCCCAGCCTGGTAGGTGCCGATTGCCGTCTTCCACGTCCGGACAGGGGAGTACCCACCCAGGCCGCCCGCACCTCTCGATTATGTCATTGATGATGCAGTCTCTGGTCCCTCCTTGGGTCCTGGCCCAGAGATTGCCCGCCTCAGTGTAGCACCTGGGGTCGGGCCACCCGTGCTCCTTCTGCTTGGCGGCCTCCTGGTAATGTTCGGTGCTCATGAGATGCGCCTTGCCGCCGCAGTGTTTCTGGCAGACCTCGCACCATCAACACCACTCCGTGTGGAAGTGCGCCCAGCGCATCCAGGGGCACTCACGGGCACGAAAGGGCTTGGATGTACCTTCAGTACTGGGGTCACTCTTGCAGGGCTCGAACGGAGACGGCCATCTGACAAGGGGCCCACCGCTGTTCTTCTTTACCATCTCGCGGCGGTGCAATGGGGGGGAGTGCAGCCGATAGCTGCGAAAGCTGAAAGAATGCACATGGGAGGAGCTGCTTGAGCCGACACGGCGCGGGCTCAGATGCTGCGGCGGTCGGGCGGACGGGGCACAGAATGAGGGGGGACATGGAGTGGGGCAGGGGAGGGATGCGCGAGAGAGTGGGCAACCTCAGCCGCCACAGTGGGGTCGCACAGACAGGCAGAGCGAGGGGGGGCGCACGGGAAGTGGGCGGGAATAGGATGGACGGACCCACTCCACTGTGTGTGGGAAGTGACTGCTGTAACGCCTGCCCCGCGGAGGGCGTCTGCCCAATACACCCCTATGGTGGCAAGACTGCCCGCCGCTTTGTTAAGTCTGCGCCTGGCGGCCTGCCAAGTGAGAACCCAGCCTGCTCCCTCGACCTGCCCCAAGGCCTCCTCCATCTGCTGAGCCAGGTGTAGTCTTCGGTATCTGGTTGTGCCAGCCCCGTACCTCACTGCGGCTATGGTGGGGATACGCGAAGCGTCAAGACTACTTCACGTGAGGTATTCCGTTCTCCCAGTGGCCCCTGAAGATCATCACGAAGAACTTAACTTGACGTGCTTCGAATAAGCAGAGCTCCGTTCCGCAAGCGAGGTCGCGCAAGAAACCAGCAACGTCGCCCCCCCCAGGCGGCGATGAGGAAGACACCTGCTGAGCCTGTAGCAGGACGCGGAATGACAGAGAGATCGTGTATGAATGCTGGAACTTTCTGAAGATCCGATTCCTTCAATATGCCCCCTGGCCAAGCAGGGCAACCCGTCTGCCAGTGCGAGAACATGCTGACCACAGCCTGCACCGACTCGCACCAAAACAGCGACACCAGCTGAAATACCACAGCGTTGAGGAAATAAGTCGTGGAACGCCAGCTTAATAGAGTATGACGGTGAACATTCCGAGGTAAGTCTGTCCAAACATCTCGCCTCACGCGGAGGCGGCACAGCGTCTCCTGATCCCAGGAGCGGACACTGTGTCCGGCAAGACCGTAGCGGGCGTGTTGCTGAATAATTCTGTGCCGATCGCCAAACGAAAGAGATTTCCCAGTCGCCGCAACAGTATCACGAAGGTGATGATAACGAAACCCACTATACCATTAAAGGTCAGCCTGGACCGGAAGCCTCTCGATCGTGCGTCGGGCATAGTGAATGTGCGGCGCAGGAACCTCCACGCATCGCCGATCAGGAAAACGAGCACGGAGATATTGCCGACGAATTGCACGATATTTGCGGACAGCGCGTGCATGTAGGCTGCGAGCGTGATACATGCCACCGCGTACGCACCACCCCCGCAGGAAGGGCACAACGCGCCACCATCTACACGCAAGACAGCTGAGGGCGCGTGTGCGGGGCCCCACTCCTGACTCGGGCTCTTGAGCCAAAATGGCAATGTAAGAAAGAGGAGGAAGAGGAGGAGGACGAGGAGGAGGAGGAGGGGTGGAGAGGACGGCTATGGGCCACAATCGAGCATCTACGAAGGTCCTCGATAAGAGAATCTCGATGTCAGGAACTCATCTCCTGGTGTTGCCCGCGAGTGCCCCGAAGTCGGGGGCGTCCAAGAGGGCGGGGCGTCCAAGAGGAGGAGTCGCAAATCATGGCCCGAGACATGTGCGCGGACAGGGGGACCAGGGAACGGATTGAAAGAAGAAGAGGAGGGATTCCAGGCCCCTATCATGGAATACACGTTCCTCTGGTCCTCACCCCTTTTTGTTGTTGGGGGGAGCGCGCCAAGGAAGCAGAGGAGCATCATAGCGATAATGAGCCTCAAGGGTAGCCGCCAATGAACACCAACAACACCACGTCGCCCGGGGAACGGTGACGTCGAACACGAAAACAACTGGCACGCAAAAGAAGCAGAAACGCACAGCGGCCATGAGCCTCATGAGTGTCCGTCACTGACACGGGGCAACACTACTTCGAGAGAGGAGCGGTGATCCGAGATGGTACAGCCCCCGTCCCCGCCCTTCTCCTGGCCGACCCCGACGAAGGGGGCCGCCGCAGTGCCCTCGGCACGCTCACTGGCGCTGGGCCCGCCGCTGGCGACGGCGCCGCACCGCCCCTGCCGTGGAGGCCTCCTTCTTCCGCCGCGCCATCTGCCGGGGGGCGCGGGGCTGGCGAGGCGGCGAGGCGAGGGGGGAGGAGGAGGGGCAGGAAGAGGACAAGACAGGTGCGTTCGCGCCGAATGTGGAATCCTACTCCCCCCCAACCCTTCCCACTGCTCTGTTGATTCTTTATCCGCAGACGGATGTCATAGCTGACCTGAAGCCTCCAAAAGGACACCAGTGTTATACAGTTGTTTCTATCCTCTGGCGCGTGCAACGGTCGTTACCTGGGCCCACCCCCCAACCCCCAAGTAACGCTAACGGTCGTACGGTTTGGGGGGAGGAGCCTGGCTGGTGCTCGCTGGTGCCAGTGCCGGCGCTCGCAAGCGCCCTGCCAGTGCTCTCAGGCTCTGCGCAGATGATCGAATCGCATGCCCTTGTTGTGCTCGCAGGCATAGCGTGGTGATGGTGATGGTGGTGGTGGTGGTGGTGGTGGTGGTGAGGAGGAGGAGGAGGAGGAGGAGGAGGAGGAGGAGGAGGAAGAGGAGGATGAAAAGGGATGGGAGGGAGGAGGGGCCAGAGGAGCCAGAGGCCAAAGGACCCAGCTGGTGCGAATCCTCCCTCCCAGGGCAATACTTTGTGGCAGGGCGCGCGGCAACGGCCATTCCCAGGGAGGCCTGTGCTGAGCACTGAGGGGGCTGGCCAGCTCGCTTGCGCAGAGCGCTTGGCAAACTGGACTCGCGGCCCGCCCAGCAGAGGAAGCAGGAGGTGGAACGGGGGAGGCTCCGTTCAAGTGTACGCAATACTTGTTTCAGAATTCCTGGAAGCAACTTCGAGCCTCCAAGACCGTCAAAAACCGACTCGGGATGAAATCCCATTATGGGGTCGGGGTCGATAGCTCCAGGAGCTGGCGATTCGAACAAATCGAATCGTCGGCTACGTTTCGCTTCTGGGAAGCGGCTGCGAAATGTTGCGAACCGATGCTTGAAATTATTACGCAGAGGCAAGTGACATCACGCAGAGGCAAGTGACATCAGAAATGAGCGTACCTAGGCGAGTGAACGACACATGCAGTCAGGACAAATCTTCCCCCACCCCTCTTTCGACATGTGGGACGGATCCCAATCCAATGGGGCTTCGGGGGGAAGATACGTAGAAGCGGGGACGAGGAGAGAAAAGGGACGAGGAGACGGACGGAGGGAGTAAACGAGGAGGAGCAGGAGGCAACATATTAGAGGGAGGAAGCAAGGAGACGATGGAGCTGGAGACAGGATGAGGTTGCAGGGGGGAGGGAAATGCGAATGAGGAGAAGGCAAAATGGAAGGAGGTGGAGGAAAAGCCGATCCGAGAAATCCGCGCGACCTTCTAAAGTGTGTGTTGAACTACCTGTGCTTGCGCTGCATTCCAGCGCAATCTCGAACACTGCTTGGACCCCTCGCAGCCGCTGACCAAATTACCCTGTGACGTACCCAACCCATTTGTATCAATGGAAACGAGGAGTTGGCCGAAACTTGTATGGACAATCGACTTGATGTGTAAGCTACTTGGGAGGCGTCACCGTGCTGGGCCCCGCAAGCAGGCCTCGAAAGTGGCGACAGCTTCACAGATCGCAGCCCCCCAGGGATGGCGAGGTCTAATTTGAATCTGCGTGTGGCGTCACTGCGCTGGGCCCCCCAGCAGCCCTCGAAAGTGGCGACAGTTGTACAGATCGCAGCCCCCCAGGGATGGCGAGGTCTAATTTGAATCTGCGTGTGGGTACCCACTGTGCTGGGCCCCTCAGCAGCCCTCGAAAGTGGCGACACTTTCACAGATCGCAGCCCCCCAGGGATGGCGAGGTCCAATGTGAGTCTGCGGTGAGTACCCAATGTGCTGGGCCCCCCAGCAGGCCTCGAAAGTGGCGACAGCTTCACAAATCGCAGCCCCCCAGGGATGGCGAGGTCAAATTTGAATCCGCGGTGGGTACCCACTGTGCTGTGCCCCTCAGCAGCCCGCGAAAGTGGCGACAGCTTCACAGATCGCAGCCCCCCAAGGATGGCGAGGTCCCATTTGAGCCTGCGGTGAATACCCGCTGTGCTGGGCCCCATCAGCAGCCCTCGAAAGTGGCGACAGTTTCACAGATCGCAGCCCCCCAAGGATGGCGAGGTCTAATCCCACCAGCCCTTTGGGCGTGAGTGGTTTAGCGAGTCCTCTCTGTTCTCAGCCCCCCTTCTTCCCCTTCGGGGAGGGGCTTACCCCTCCCCCTACCCCCTCCCCCTGGGCCTGGAGAGGTCCTTTCGCGGGTCGTCAGGGCGGTCGTTTTCGACTCCTGGGAGGGCTAAAAAAACGACACCCCTCACGAGGAGTCTGGCCCCGACGGGGGGGAGGAGAAAAAATGCTCTCCTCTTCTTTGAAGCTAAACTCATTGATTTTACTACGGTTTTGGCAACATTTTGGCCTTCTGAGGGGCCAGCGCTCATTAAAGCTCCCCTCTTCTTTCAAGGCAAAACCATTGATTTTACGAAGGTTTTGGGCCCATTTTGCCATTCTGATGGGGGCAGCGCTAATTAAAGCTCACCTCTTCTTTGATCGATTTCCTCCAAGATGGCCCCAAGAAGCGCCCAGGAGGCACCAAGAGGCCTCAAGATGGCCCCAAGAGGCCCCCCAGAGGCCCCCAAGATGCCTCCAAGAGGCACCCAAGATGCCCCCAAGAGGCCCCCAAGAGGCCCCAAGAGGCGCCGAGGACGCCCCAAGAGGCCCCCAAGAGGTTCCCAAAAGACATCTACTACTACTTCTACTCCTACTCCTACGACTACTACTACTACTACTACTACTACTACTACTACTACTACTGCTACTCCTACTACTACTACTACTACTACTACTACTACTACTACTACTGCTACTGCTACTACTACTATTACTACTACTACTACTACTACTACTACTACTACTACTACTACTACTACTACTACTACTACTACTACTACTACTACTACTACTACTACACTACTAGTACTAGTACTACTACTACTACTACTACTACTACTACTACTACTACTACTAGTACTACTAGTACTACTACTACAACTACTATTACGACTACTACTAGTTCTAGTCCTACTACTACTACTACTCCTACTACTACTATTACAAATACTACTACTACTACTGCTACTACTACTACTACTACTACTACTACTACTACTACTAGTACTGCCACTACCACTGCTACTAGTACCACTGCTACTAGTACTACTGGGGCTACTACTACTGCTGCTACTCCTACTACTACTACTACTACTACTACTACTACTACTACTACTACTATTACGACTACTACTAGCTGTAGTCCTACTACTACTACTCCTACTATTACTACTACTACTACTACTACTACTACTACTACTACTACTACTACTACAACTACTACTACTAGTACTGCCACTACCACTGCTACTAGTACCACTGCTACTAGTACTACTGGGACTACTACTACTGCTGCTATTAGTACTAGGACTACTACTTCTACTATTACTATTAGTCCTATTACTGCGACTACCACGTTTCTGGACGGGCAGGAGGAGGGGCCCGAACGACTCACACCAGGACGAGGGGCCCGAACAACTCACACCACGAGAAGCCCGAACGACTCACACCAGGACGAAGAGCCCGAACGACTCACACCACGACGAGCCCGAACGACTCACACCAGGAGGAAGGGCCCCAACGACTCACACCAGGACGAGAAGCCCGAACGACTCAAACCACGAGGAGCGCTTTCTCTCCCTCCTCCTCCACCTCGTCCTTCTCCCGCTCCCCCCACAAGGAAAATGTACAAGGAGGCGGGAGGAAGGGGGAACAGGGGAGATATGCGGGGGCAGAAGGAAACACGCCTGAAAAACACGACTGTCGGCATGTTTCGCTAGAGTTGCTGTTTTGAGATGGGCTGGTGGGGATACGCGAAGCGTGCAGAATTTGAGCCTGCGGTGACTGCCCGCTGTGCTTGACCCCTCAGCAACCCTAGAAAATGACGACAGTTTCACATATCGCAGCCCCACCAGGGATGGCGAGGTCAAATGTGAGTCTGCGGTGAATACCCACTGTGCTGGGCCCCTCAACAGCCCTCGAAAGTGGCGACACTTTCACAGATCGCAGCCCCCCAGGGATGGCGAGGTCCCATTTGAGTCTGCGGTGAGTACCCACTGTGCTGGGCCCCTCAGCGGCCCTCGAAAGTGGCGACAGCTTCACAGATCGCAGCCCCCCAGGGATGGCGAGGTCCCATTTGAGTCTGCGGTGAGTACCCACTGTGCTGGGCCCCTCAGCAGCCCTCGAAAGTGGCGACAGTTTCACAGATCGCAGCCCCCCAGGGATGGCGAGGTCCCATTTGAGTTCTGCGGTGAGTACCCACTGTGCTGGGCCCCTCAGCAGCCCTCGAAAGTGGCGACAGTTTCACAGATCGCAGCCCCCCAGGGATGGCGAGGTCCCATTTGAGTCTGCGGTGAGTACCCACTGTGCTGGGCCCCTCAGCAGCCCTCGAAAGTGGCGACAGTTTCACAGATCGCAGCCCCCCAGGGATGGCGAGGTCCCATTTGAGTCTGCGGTGAGTACCCACTGTGCTGGGCCCCTCAGCAGGCCTCGAAAGTGGCGACAGTTTCACAGATCGCAGCCCCCCAGGGATGGCGAGGTCCCATTTGAGTCTGCGGTGAATACCCACTGTGCTGGGCCCCCCAGCAGGCCTCGAAAGTGGCGACAGTTTCACAGATCGCAGCCCCCAGGGATGGCGAGGTCCCATTTGAGTCTGCGGTGAGTACCCACTGTGCTGGGCCCCATCAGCAGCCCTCGAAAGTGGCGACAGTTTCACAAATCGCAGCCCCCCAGGGATGGCGAGGTCCCATTTGAGTCTGCGGTGAGTACCCACTGTGCTGGGCCCCTCAGCAGCCCTCGAAAGTGGCGACAGTTTCACAGATCGCAACCCCCCAGGGATGGCGAGGTCCCATTTGAGTCTGCGGTGAATACCCACTGTGCTGGGCCCCCCAGCAGGCCTCGAAAGTGGCGACAGTTTCACAGATCGCAGCCCCCCAGGGATGGCGAGGTCCCATTTGAGTCTGCGGTGAGTACCCACTGTGCTGGGCCCCCCAGCAGGCCTCGAAAGTGGCGACAGTTTCACAGATCGCAGCCCCCCAGCTGGCACGCAGTGGCGAGCGAGGTAAAAGGCAGGGGGGAAGAGAGGGACGGGAAGGAAGGAAGGAGACGCGCGAGCAGTGCTCTACTCAAAACGAGATCCCAACGCAGGAGGGTTGGGAAAAAATGCTGAACTACCTGAGTGGTTCGTTGACTATCCTGGGGTCCGATGAGGGCCACCGGAAACAGAACACGAGCAAAAACCTTCCGTCTTAATTTCTTCACAGCGAGAAGATGCCAAGGCTGTACTCCGACCTTGGAGACGGCCATGGAGCCTGAGCAAGAGAAGTCCAGAGAAAATCTGTTAAGAGAGTGGATGACACCAAATGCAATCAAAAATCTGTCCGCGGACCGCTCATAGGGTCGAAACTCACAAATCCTTCGAGCCGCATCCAGCCGTGGCGACGCAGGGGCTCCTTTATCCCCCCTCTCTGCTGGCTGGAACCGGTGTCGTGCCACCTCGGCCCCCAAGCCAGTTCTAACCCCCACCTGGCTCACCCGACGGCGTGACCACCGCGCCCGTCTTGGGACCCTGGTGGGCAGGCGCCGTTCTACATCGAATGAACAAGTCCGCGGACACAGACAGCGAGTCCTGTCCGAAATGGACAGGTGCTGCTGTCAGTCTTAGCCGCCCCCCGCCTGAGATTCGACGGCGCGAACAATCGAAGACATCGTATGGTAATCACGACCAGAGCCCTGGACCCGATCTTTCTGCACCATTTTTCGAGCCCGGTCGATCTGCGAGGGCCCCGAAGGCGCGAAACTCAACGAAAACGCTCGGCTCGGCAAGATGAGACGCCAGGATCTCGGGGCCATTCTTTCCGCACCTATTTCGATCGTGCCGAACGTTGTGGCCACCGCGCCCATCTTTCGAGGCTCCCATCTGGGGTCGGAGTAGATGGGGTCGGAGGATTGCGCTGCCGCGTCGGCGATGCATCGGCGACGTTGGCTTGGAGAAAATCGGACTCCACATCGAGCCGCATCGCCGATGCATCGGCGATGCGGCACGATCATCCGACCCCATCTGCTCAGACCCCATCTGGGAGGCCTAGAGCCTTGGGCCAAGGGGCCCTCCCGAGGGCCTTGGGCAGCGCCCGCGCCGCAGCGGGCACCTTTGCCGTCTCCGCCGCGGTCACCAGCCGTCCACACCGCTCGAGGCGCTCGGCGGCCCCCTCGATGCGGCCGGCCTTGGCGACGGCCGCCGCCTCAGTCCTCCCCCGACGACGACGACGACGACCACCGCACTGAGATCCTGGAGTCGCATTTTCTTCCGCAACGGGCGACGTTGGCCCTGTTTCGGGCCCGGGACCCTCATGGCTCGATCCGGCTCGAAGAATGCAGAAACGTGGGTTCCAGGGCTCTGGTCGAGGTGTCTGTGTGATGGTGTAGATAGCTCGTGACGTCGGATCTCGGGGTATGGGGCGTCGACCCCTCCTGCCCTCCATCCTGCCATCCCTACGGCCCTCCCTGCTGCCCTCCCTCGTGTCCTCCTGCTGCCCTCCCTCCACCCTGCCCTCCCCCCATCGTGCATGCCCGTCCGGCCTCCATGTTGGGAAGGCCGTCAGACGGCTCGTGGGAGAAGGGGCTGCGCCGTCCTCCAGCGTGCTCCCGTGCTCCATCCTCCCTCCTTTCACGGTGGCCGCCGCCACATTCGATCGATCGATCGAGGGTCGAGGGCCGAGGCTTCTGGGTGCTCTTGGGCCTTCTTGGTTCATTATTGAGCTTTCGGGGGCACCAGGAGGCCGCCGCCGCAAGCGCCGCCGTCGCCGCCGCCGTCGTAGTGGACGGCGAGGGCGATGACGACGACAACGAGGCTCTGGGCGCCCGTTGGGTCTTCTTGGGCGCTGGGGGGCCCCCTTGTCGACGCTGCTGGATCCACCACGGCCTCTTGGTCAAAGCCCACCGGAGGACGGGTCTGAGGGGCCGATTTCTGAGGGGCGTCACTACCAAAGTCGCCGTCAACGCCGACTACGGCGAGGCGGCGGGGATCGACGAGGACCTGGACGTCCTCGGGCCCTTCTGGGCCTCTGGTGATGGCCGCACCGCCCCCTTCCCCTAACCCCAATCTGGCACCAGGGGAGGGCCTGCTGGACACAAGCCCCCCCCATGCCTGACGGAGCCGCCTGGTCGATTAACACGGTTGCGCGCTGCGCAAGGCAGCCGCCGCGAAACACAGACGCGGCCGCAGCGCCGTCTCAAGAGACCTCGCGGTATCCCTGCCTCGAGCGATGGGGCCTCGATGGCCCCGAGGGCGGGGTCCAGCTTCCTAAAGCAGAGGTGACGCGAGGAAACGAGAAACGAACGGCTCGGAAACAGGGAGGGAAATGCGAGGAAGCGAAGAAGGAGAGGCTCGGAAATCTGTCGTAGCGGATGAGAGGGCCCCGTCATTGCATCGCACCCTTCCCCCTCCAGTCCTCCCCGCCAACTCACTGGATGATTTCGAAGGCATCGCAAGCGGTGCTGTTTTCGCTGCCAGCGCAATCCGTTTGAAGCCCTTTCCCGCCTCGTAGCGGTGGGTGCTCAACGGTCTTTTGGCGCCCCCGCCCCCAGCTGCTGGTCGCCAGCGCTCCGGTGGTTGTGGTTTTTCCAGTGCCGCGGCAGGTCCGGAACTGGGGCTGGGGGTGGCGGGGAACCCCGTTATTCATCGCGCCGGCAACTACACCATGGACCACGATTTCTCGGGCGAGATTTGAGCTGTGCGGCTGGGGGAATTGGCCAGGGCGCCCGTGTGGGCACCTGACTTCGGGGGCACGGTGGAGGACTTCCGCCCCCAGCACGCTTGCGAATCCTTCTTCGCTGAGGGCGAGGAGCCCAGGCAGCTGGCACAAGCAAATCCGGCCGTCACGATGCGGGGGCTCACGGGGCAGGCGTCGGAACCGAGGGGTGGGCCTGCGCCTCGGCAGCGGCGCCGAGTGGAAAAGTACTTCATTATCATGGTGGTGGACACTATGCTCAGAAGCCCCGCAACTCGTTACAAAACGGGAACGAACATAAGAGCAGATCTGGAAAGGAAGAGCTGCAAACAAACAGCCAGTAGGGCGGACGAAGCGGACGTAGGGCCAGTCAAACAGCCAGTGGAAGATTGTGCGAGGGCCCCAGCCCCTTGGGACATGTGCCTCCCCCACATCAGGGCTATTGTGGGCCGGTGCTGGCTACATCTGGGGGCCACGCCCTTGCCATATTTTTTCGCAACGTGCCCCCCCAAAGGTCGGGGCCCCTTCCCCGGACGGGCTCTTCGTCCTGAGTCGATTTCTGACGGTCCCGGGGCCGCGTGAATGGAAGGCCCGCGGCGACACAATGGGCAAAAACCATCCGTCGTGATTTCTCGCAGCGCGAGAATGTGAGGGTCGGGCCTCTGGGGGCCCCTCGTCGCCGAGGCTGCGTCTTCTCCGAGGCATCGCTGTCGGTACCGGCGTGGGCACGAGCGGGGGCGCGGGCGTCGCGGCCCTCTTCCTCCTCGTTCTCCTCCCCCTTCAGATTAGGAGGAGAAGAACGAATGAACCCTATGGTGCGTACCCGAGTCAGCTGTCTAGCAGTGCACTCGGATCGGCCCTTGCAAACGGGGACTTCGGGACAAGCCCGCCCAAAAGAGACGTAGTGTTTCGGGGACCCTGTCTACTACAAGGAGGAAGAGGGAAGAGAGAGGAGACTTCGGAGGAAGGAGGGAGCCTGAGATCCTGGCCTGAGATCCTGGCGTCGCGCTCTTTCCAGTGGGCGACGTTGCTCTGTTTCGGGCCACGGGACCCTCACGGATCAATCCAGCCTTAAAAGTGCAGCAGGGAGATTGGTTCCAGGGCTCCTGTCGCGATTTGTTGCGATGTTGCAGTTTTCTTGTGTGACGTCGGATCTCAGGGGAGAGGATGGGGGAGGGATTGGAGGGGCAGGGAGGAGGAAAAGGGAGAAGGACGAAGGAGGAGAGGACGTTCCCCTCGGCCCCATCCTGATCCTTCAGGCGCTCGACGTCACGATTTCTGTCGCGGCGTGGGTCCTGGAGCTCATCCTCCATCCCAAAACATAGACAACCTGTCCGTCGCGATGTTTTCCACGACGTCCGCAGTTGATGTGACCAGCTCGTTCCTATACGATTTGTGTCAATTTCGGTACTTCGAGCGAACACGCTCAATTTCTACCTCGTGGGAAAAAGGGCCAGTAACATCTCCCCTGCGCCTGATACGGTAACATGTGGAGCGTCTGCTTCGAGCTGAGCATCTCAAGCGAGATTAATTACACTTGGAGTGACTGACCTAAATGGCAACATACTCAACGCACATTCAAACCACCGATCAGCAAAACCTCCGTGAGGTGCGGAACGGGAGGCTAGATAACATCAGGTCGATGTGACCGACTCTGGACAACTGGAAAAACCAGCATTGACCTCCCTCGGGACTCTTGGCGGGTCAGCTGTCACTTCCGCCAGCTTCCGCAGAGGCTTCGGCGTTCTTCCATCGGCGGAGCCGCCATAGTCTAACCTCCGCTGACTTCCACCGACGCTCCGCCAGCATCCGTCGAGGGCGAGATGTCAACGTCTCGATCCCTAAAAGTCGAGCCACTTTCTGGAGCGTCCTGGTCTTCTCTCTCTCCTCCTCCTCCTCCTCCTCCTCCTCCTCCTCCTCCTCCTCCTCCTCCTCCTCCTCCTCCTCCTCCTCCTCCTCCTCCTCCTCCTCCTCCCTCCTCCTCCTCCTCCTCCTCCTCCTCCTCCTCCTCCTCCTCCTCCCCTGGAGGCGCATCCAGTCGTGGCAACAAGGGCTCCCCCCGACGGAGGAGGACGACGACGCCGAGGACTGGGATGAGGCGGAGGAAGGAAGAAGAGGAGGGGGAGCAGGAGAAGGGGAGCAGAGGGAGGGGAAGGGGAGTCGAAAGGGAGGGGTGGGGGATGGAGAGAGATCTCCCATTTCCCCGTTCTCCTCCTTCTCTGGAGCGGCTGGGCGTCGGACGAACGCTTCTGGAAGCATCAGAAACTGGTCGGAGACCCACAGAACCATTTGAACACCTTCGGGTACGTCCGGCAGTCTCAGAGAACGTCCAGCAACCTCCGAACGTCCTCCCTCGTTTCTGAAGACGCCCAAAGACCCTCCTCTCTCCTGGCCCAGGGGCTACTCGAGCGGGTCAGCATCCCCAACGCACTGGTCACGCTGGAGGGCCGATGGGCTGTGGGGCTCCAGTGTCCAGTCACTAGATCCAGCAGCCAGCTGTGGGGCCCCCATCGAAGGGGAGCGGTAGGGGGAGTCTGGCCCAAGGGGGAGACACATCGACCTGGAATCGCCGGTAGCCGATCGATCTGCGATAGGCCCCCGATAGCGACATCGCAGGTTGCTGGGCGGGGTGAGGCAGCAGGCCCGTATCGGCAATGAGCGGGCGACTGGGGTCGATACGTCCCCCGCTGATCCAATCCCCCCCTAACGTTGCCCCTGACCCATTCATCCCTTCACTCCCTCCCTCTCTCCTTCTCTTTTTCCTCTTCTTCTTCCCAGCCCAAATCTGCCCAAAACGGGCCCATGGACCACTGCTTGGGTCCACCATGGCCTGTTTCCCATCCTGGAAGGACTATTGACGGCGCTCGAAACAGGCCCCCAGAAGTCGAAATCCTAGAAACACTTCGGGGGTGGTTCTTGTTCAACAGGCATCCCATCGGAATGAGAGACATGTTGCGAGGATCGTGCCGCATCGATAATGCATCAGGGCGACGTTCGGATGGAGAAAATTAAGCTCCAGATCGCGCCGAACCGCCGATGCATCGGAGACGCAGTGCGATCCTCCGACCCGTCTACTACGTTCACACTGGACTGGCAAAAGAAACAAATCTGACGCGACACGACATAACTCGGCGGCGAGCGTATGGGGGGAACTGGAAAACCTGCCAGGACCAACGAAAACGTCGGCAAAACGCCGACAACCACCAACCACCTGGTAGTCACCACCTTCCTCTTGGCCGCTTCCAGCCAGAATAGACCACCCGACCTGTCCTCATCCTGATTCTTGGGCGACCCCGACGATCGACCCCCCGCTCCGGCCCCTCCGCCCGCAGAGGGGGCCAGGCCTGCCCCGGGGCCGGCGCCCCCAGCAGCGCGATGTCCGCATCCTCGAACGCGGCGTTCTCCTCGCGGGAGGGGCGCACTCTCCTCCGCCCCTACCTCTCCCTCTCCCTGCTGCTCCTCCTCCTCCTCCTCCTCCTCCTCCACCTTCCCCTCCTCCTCCTTCCTCCTCCTCCTCCCTCCTCCTCCTGCTCCTCCTCTTCCATCCTCCTCCTCCTCCTCCTCCTCCTCCTCCTCCTCCTCGTGCTCCTCGTCCTCCGACGCTCCTGAGCACCTGGCCCCACAATCTTCCCACAACACGCGATTTGCCATGTTTCGGGCACCCAGGCCCTCACATAACGACCTAGCTGGGAAAAAATGAAGGAAGATAAAAAAATGCGTTTCGTTGACGCTTGCCGAGGAACAAAAACACATTCACACGCTTGAACTGGCCCTCCCCCGACGCATAGTTTGCCCCTGGAGAGACGGGAGGGCCCCCCCCCCCTGGATCCACACGGGCCTCCCTAGCGGACCCCCCCTCCAAGGAACGGAAGCTCCACCATGTCCCAGGGGGGGGGGGTCGAACCGGGGGGGGCCCCACCTCCCCCCGTCCGAGCAGGTGCGCCAAGGCCCGTCGCCGTCGCCGTCGCCGTCGCCGCCGTCGCCGCCGTCGCCATCGCCGTCGCCTGCGCCGTCGCCGTCGCCGTCGCCGTCACCGTCACCATCGCCGTCGCGGTCGCCGTCAACGTCGCCGACGTCGCCGTCGCCATCGTCGCCGTCGTCGCCGTCGTCGTCGTCGTCATCTTCGTCGTTGCTGCCCGACGGCGCCGTCGCCGTCGCCGACGTCGCCGTGTACGCCAAGGCCCGCCGCCGCCGCCGTCGCCGTCGCCATCGATCGCCGTCGCAGTCGCCGACACCGTCACCATCGCCGTCGCCGTCGAGGCTATCGCCGCCGTCGCCGTCGGCGTCGGCGTCGCCGTCGTCGCCGTCGTCGTCGTCGTCGTCGTCGTCGTCGTCGTCGCTGCCCGACGGCGCCGTCGCCGTCAACGCCGTCGCCGACGTCGTCGTGTACGCCAATGCCCGTCGCCGCCGCCGTCGCCATCGCCGTCGCCATCGCTCGCCGTCGCCATCGCCGTCACCGTCGCCGTCGCCATCGCCGTCTCCGTCGTTGCCGGCGTCCGCGTCAGCGTCGGAGTCGGCGTCGGCGTCGCCGTCGTCGTCGTCGCCGTCGTCGGCAGCGGGGACTACCTGGGGGGCTGTCTGTACGCATCCCGGAGCCGTCATTACCAGTCACAGACCCACCTGCCCGATGACGATGGTCCCGCTGAGGGAGGGGTTGCGCGGGCGTCCTCTGGGCTGCGCGCCAGCAGGCGGTTGGCCTCCTGCAGCGGCGTCGCGGCGGGGCAGGCTGGCGCCTGCCAGCGGTGCCGCCGCTGGGCGCCGACGGCGACGGCGACGGCGACGACGACGACGGCGGCGACGGCGACGGCGACGGCGACGGCGACGACGACGACGACGACCACCACTACCACGACGAAGGCCCCGAATTCCTGGTGGCGTCGCCTATTTTTCACAATGGGCGAATTTGCCTTGTCGCGGGCCCTAGCGCCTACACCGATCGATCCGGCTCGAAGAGTGCCGTCGGACGATGGGTTCCAGGGCGTCGGTGGAGCTATTTTCCTACAATGTCGCAATCTTTTCGTGAGGTCGGATCTCAGGGGACGACGACGGCCAAGACCACGGCAACCCACTAGCCGGCCGGGCCCCGATGGGTCCCATGCAGGAGGCCCCCGGCGAGGGAGGGCTCCCTGGAAGACCCCAAAGGGTTACTCGTTTGTTTGTTCGCATGTCATGTGGCAAGTTCTGGAAACCCTGCACCCAAAAATATTGCCATCTCTCAAAGGCGCATGTTTTACTTCCGCTGGCTTCCACTGGCGGAAGCGGCCTCGGTTTACTTCTGCCACCTTCCGCCGCCCTTCCACCATCTTCTGCCGAGGAGGCGATACCAACTTCTTCGATCCTCGAAGGCGAAGACAATTCTGGAACGCCTCATACATCGTCAACGTCGGGTACACGGTCATCAGCTCGGGCATGTGTCCAGCGTGTATTCGCGACCACGCCTTTCGGCGCGCGAATGTGGCGTTGGTGCTCGTCTGGGCACGGACGACCCCCCAGGACGCCCTGCAATAAACCCCAAGATGCACTGCAGGTGGCTTCCGGGAAGATTCCTGGAAGCTCTTGGGAGGAGGTGGAAAAGTGTCTTCTATGAAGCCAATGCCAGCTCTCCCGCTGAGGGGAAGGGGTCTCCACCATTCGAAACACCAGCCACGGAAGAGAAGGAAGATAAGACACATGGGGGGATAAACAGAAGACGAGAGAGAGTGGGCCGCGTGATTGCCAAAAACGCTGCCATGCCCATCGATTGCCATGCAACTTGGTTGCAGGAGGGGGAAAAAATGATGAATGAGGAGAAACCCTGAGATTCGACGCCAGGAAACATCGCAACATCGCGAACAAAAAAACTCGATTCCGTCTGTCTGCTGCATTGCCCATACTGGATCGATCCGGAGGGTCCTCGGGCCCGAACCAAGGCATAAACGCCCGTAATGGAAAATGCGACGGCAAGATCCAAGGGGGGGAATCTCGAACTCGCCAGCCGTCGTCCGAGCATGCCCTGGACAGAACAGAGGTCAAGCCTGTGGGCGCGGTCCAGCCGGTGATGCGGACGAGATGCCCCAAAGTCAGGGCCAGCAGGCGGGATGCCACCGCAGGGAACGCGCACAGTCAGTCTGCAGTCAAAGTATTACCACGGAAAACATTGCATCACCCCAGCCATGCGCCCGAATATCAACATGGTGGTGCTCGCGCGTGGTTCGTTCCAGAAGCCACAACTCCCCAAAAACGTCCAGCTCATGGACGGCTGACCTTCACCTGCGCCTGCCTTCCGCCGGCGGAGCCGCCACCGTCTGACTCCTGCCGGCGTTCCAGCCGAGGAGGAGCGAACGTCGCCGTGAGGGGACGTCCATCCGAACTAATCGAGCCGCGGCCTCGGGCGCCCCGCACCGCCACTCAAGTCGTGAGGCAGGTGGAAGGCGCGGCGGGCGGCAGTGGCAGCCTCGTAGGTCGTCTCGAGGTTGCGGTGGTGCATGTCCTTCAGGTGGTCTGGCCGCACCGCCGTGCGGGCCGCGGAGTTGACAATCCCGTTCTCGCCCTCGTAGTCGCAGTTCACGACGGGGAGGGCCATCCTGCACAGGACATTTCCGCTGAGGAGGCCACGCGGCTGCGCCAGGTGGCACCGCCCCCTCGGATTCTTCACGTCGTGGTTGATCGCGTCCACGTCTGAGCGCCCGAAAACGCACTGCCGCTGTTGTGAGGTTATGTGCGTTTTCGCTGTCGTCGTCCACGCACCACACAGCATCCTTAGAGCCGCCCAGACGCGCGCAGGCGGCAAGGCCGCCGGGTGCGTCCTGAGCCTTTCTACCCCGCCTCCAGGTTGGCAGGGATGCTCGTCATCCGACCTCATCAACAACTTATTCTGCTTCGAGGTCATGATCTTCACCTTGAACGGACAGGTCGTCAGCTGCGGGGAATCGGCTTCGCTGGCTAACAGCCCAGCGACGACGAGCACGATGTTCAGCAGCTGTCTCGCGCCGAAGTGCATCCTATTGCCGTGGACGCGCAGCGTCGCCGCGCATGTGGCCGAGGATACGGAACTCCAGGCTGCGCCTGCCCATGTCTGGGCTGTCCGAAGCGCGGCGGCGGCGCCGCCGGTGGGAACGAGCGCGGGAAAGAGGAGGTCCAGCCGAGGGGGAGGAGCAGAGCAGAGCCGAGCAGCACCAATGATCCGACGAATCCAAATGCCTCGAGGCTACAGCACCCTGCTGGCCCTCAAGGAAAACAGGAACGGATCAGGCGTTCCAGACCCGCTTTCGGGGCCCGATCGTCTTTGGGACCCTGCAGGGGGATACCTCTGGCAAAAGCGAAACTCCCAAAAGGGGGCACCGCGGGGGCTCGCCCATGCACCCCGTTGCTGCGCAGGGCCGAAGGCAAGCGACGAAAGAACCGACCCCAGCGCAACTCCAATTAGCACTCGCGGCGCGGGACAGCCCAGACGCCCGAGGGCCGCGAAGACCCAGCGACTCGGCCCTCCCCCAAAGAGCTCTCCGCAAGGCGTAGCTGCCGATGGGGCCACGGAAAGCGCCCGAAAACGCTCGGCGTCAAGGAAAAGCCCAAATTGGGAGATACCTAAAAAAAGCGCTGACCTCCAGAACACCATCAGAATAATCAAGGATCGAAGGGGTCCGAGCCTGGAGGGCGAGAAAGGGTTTATCAGGTAGGTCGCCCTGGAGGTAGCGCTCAACGGCACGGCGAAACCCGTTGATTGCTACCAAACGGGCCCGCGCAGCAGGCCGACTCCTGCCCCGCCCTCCTCCTCGGTGGGCCTGTCCTCGAGGCCTAGTTTCAGCGCGAGCTTGGCCGCCTCCCTCTCCAGGCCCGGGCGCGGGGGCGACCCTGGCAGGTAAGTGGCCTGATGCTCAATCTCCTTGGTGCCCGCCGCCAGCAGTGTCATCTGGATGGCCTCCATCTGGGCGCGCCGGCTGCCCTCCCATTCGTTGGCCTGCTGCTGGGCGCCCAGCATGACCTGTGGTTCGAAGCGGTCGGGTTTCGTCGCTCTCTCCCTGCCGTACCAGCAAGCCTTGATCCGAAAGCGGCGGCAATGTACAGCCAACAGGTCGAGCGCCGCCGGAGCCAGTACCACCTTCTTCCAGTAGTCCTGGAACAGCTCCCGAACGGCCTGAGGCTTCGTCGCTGCGCCCTCCGCGCAAGCCCACTTGACGAAAGCTTTGAACACACGTGGCCAAGGTGGGCCGTGCTCGCGATCCTTTCCCCCCGCTTTGCAGCTCTCCGCGCAGGCGCGCCCCGCCTCCTGCACTGCCTCCGCGAAGGACACCTCCGCGCCGACCATGTGGCACGCGAAGCAAGCGCCAGCCACCTCTGCCAATTCTTGCGCGCTGGCGAGAGCGAGCTTCATGAGCGCCAGCAGGTAGAGCTGCCGGCGCGCCGCCCATGCCGCCCTTCTGGCTGGCCTTCGCCCCCTCGCCGGGATCTGCGAGCGGGCGGGCTTGCCTGGCAAATCGTGGGGCGCTGCTGCCCCCCCTCCGCTCCCGTGCGCTTCGCCGCCCAGCTGGGCTCGCCGAGCTCCATCTCTCAGTGTTTGTGGGCCTCGCAGAGGCGGCAGGCAAAGGGGCCCCCAGGAACCTCGAGCTCATAATAAGCGCTTCGCTGATGATTGCAAAAACCCGACGCGACCGAGCCCGCTGCGCGGTTACACGCCGAGTTGCGACTCTGAAACCGGCTGCGGCACGCGAAGCACCCAGCAGGGCCTCGAAGCCGCGAGGTGTGCGAGCCTTATTCAAAAGCTACGCGGTGCAGACGTCGGCCGCGCAGGGAAAGGTTTGAGCGCGCCCTGCGGGCGCCCGGGGCGGAGCAGGAGGGGCCTGCAGAGAGTGCCCTCGTTGCGAAATGCTGACCGAGAGCCGCGCGGCTCTGGCGACGGAGAGGTCCAGCTCCGTGAACCAGTCACTCGGGCCCCCCTCCTCGGAACAAAAACCAATGGGGCGCCCGCCCAGGAACTCATATCCCCCTTTATGTCCGCGGGGGCCCCTCGGAGCGCCTCAAAGTCCCGAACAAACTGGATGGCCCATCGCGGACGCAGTAAGATGGCCCTCGGAGGTGAGCGCGCTGGGCCCTCTCTGCCTCTCGATTTTCACGTAGCCAAAGAAGGGGGGCCACTCGCTCATGCGCCTGGAGGGATTGATGGCCCACTGTCGACTGTCGACGCCGCCGAAGCCGACGGGCCCGAAGTTCGACCTCGAGCGGGGGAGCCTTCCAGTGCATCAGGGCGGCCTCCGTAAAGATAAAGCGAGCGTGGCCTTCCTCTCGCGGCAGCGTCGCCCCCCCCATCGCCTGGCGCCCCGGAGAAAGGAGAGTGGGGGGAATTAAAATTATCCCGGCAAAACAGCCTAACAGCGATGTGTAGGAGCATATCTGGAAGCATTCCCCTTGAGATTCAGATGATAATCCAGTTGTAGAGTTCTGCTGTTCTCGCAGTCGCAGTCGCAGTCGCGATAACAGTCGCAGTGGCAACGGCAGTCGCAGTCACAGCCTTAGCCTCAGCCTGCCTCAGAATCAGCTTGCCTCAGCCTCAGCCTCAGCCTGCGTCAGCCTCAGCCTCAGCCTGCTTCAGCCTCAGCCTCAGCCTGCCTTCAGCCTCGGCCTCAGCCTCAGCCTGCCTCAGCCTCACCCTGCATCAGCCTCAGCCTCAGCCTCAACCTGCCTCAGCATCAGCCTGCCTCAGCCTCAGCCTCAGCCTGCCTCAGCCTCAGCCTCAGCCTGCCTTCAGCCTCAGCCTCAG